GTTATATTTACAGGAGATCACACTATTTTTCCAGTTCTCCCATCAATGGTACAACGCACAACCTAGTGACAGAACTTTCTACACAGACAGTAGTTACATGAAGACTGCCTCTGTAAGTGAACTGATTACATCATTTAGGCAGACTACTGCATTTCCTCCCTACAACTACAGGGCATCCTCTATAAATAAAATCCAGGCAGTTACCACAATATTGTTATTTTAAATATTGTTATTCCTTTAAATAAGCCTCTGACAAACAGGTGGTAATTGAACATGTTTTCTTGCCTTTACCTTAGAGAAAAATATTGCACACCCACAAGACTACTGGAAAGTAAAATAATTTGATGATAACTTATTCCTGTCACATAAAGATGACACTTTAAGGAAAAATTAAACAAAACAAGAAAAAAATGAAAATAATTAACATTTAATGTAAGTTTCTAACAGATGGAGAACTTCAGAGGAGAAAATACATACAAAAAAAATATCAGTGACAAAAGCGAGTACATTACTAGACACAGTATGATGAGAAGCTGGAAAGAGCTCATGCCTTTTAATGATCTTCTTGTAGAGAAATAAATTCCATGTTCTGACAACAGAAAACATGGATTTCTGTATTCCGTAAAAAGAATTTATGAGTAATCTGGGGGCAAATTTAAATAGCAGAAATAAGGTTAGAACTATATTTGATAGCTTTCTCACCACAAAATTCAGATTCTGGTGAAGTATTTTAGCAAGAATTAGAAGAAAAAAATCACAAATCTGTTGTATCCATGCATGTCTTTGAAAGTATAGAGCCTTTGTAGCTAATAATATCAAGTTTCCTTATAAAACAGACTTGCACAATGCTTGAAGCAAGCAAACACTCAAATGGAAGCACAGCAAAATATTTGGTAAGCAGCAGCTTAACACCAGAAAACTTAATTACTGGCAGAGGTTTGAAATTTAAAAACAGAAAGGTCTATTAGTTTCGAGTTACTCAGTCATTCTGCAAAAGGAGAAGCCAGTACAAAAATAGTTCTGAATTAACACAACCACATCATGGAAGATTTAGTTTCATGTTTATCCCACCTATCCTCCTTGTGAGGTTGAACATGCCATACCAAAAATTCTAGCCAAGACCTAGAAAACTCAGTTGCTAAATTCAGCAGAGAAGATATTATGTCACATGCCACTGTTGCTTCTAAGCAAAATGGCAGAATGACTTACTAGCCTTACTTTAACTCTGGTCAGTAAAGAAATCTATTTACACTTCACGATCCATTCACACTTCTGTAAACCAAGGACACTAGCAGAGTTGCTGAATATATCTGCAGTAGCTAACACAAGTAAAAGATCACAAAAGAGTCTAGATAAAGAATCTAATCCATTTAGACAATCAGAGCAAAGACTGATTTCCTCCTGGACTCATCCACAGATACAGCAGCCAGCACTAGAGATTTAGGGAAGGATTTCACCCTCTTAAGATAACTCACTGTCCTTTTAGCATTTAATTTTATACAACCTATCCATGGTTCAGCAATAATAACAGTTTTAAAAGTGAATGAAGATAGTTAAAGAGAAGATAATTTAACAGAATTATTTGCTAGTATTTACTGAAGCAATACACAGAGCAGTGGTACTTTATAGATACTTTATTAAAAGAATGACAGACTGGTATATACCAGTGATATACCATGATGAGTTGGGTCCCACTCACTCTTTTAGAATTCTCTAAAATAACAAACTGGTCTTGAATAAACTCTGTCCTTATAAGTACACAGGAATCATTTTATATCAACAGTACTGTATATTAAAAAATATTTTAGCTAAATTTTAGTAAAAATCACCTGTGTAAAAATCAAACTGCAGTAAGCCCTCAAACAAATTCCAGATATTCTGTCACAGAGCGGTAACAATTTAACTTTCTTATCTGATTAAAAGAGATTGAAACATTGATACACTGGAAAATTCTAAGAGGAACTTCATCAACAGCAAAATCAAAAACAAGATACAGCTTCCCAAAAGACAGAGCCTCTAGTGATTCATTGTTTCATGCAGTAATGTTTTCAAGTTTAATTACTGTTTTAGTAAAAAAAAGAATTACCATTAAATTAAGGTGAAGAATAACCAGTGTGGCACTAGATTTGGGAAAAGCCTCCCTGAAGCTGCTTATCAGCATCATCTGAAAATTAAAACCAAGGAATTTCAAGAAAACAAGATTAAAGAGTTCCACACACAGTCCCAGAACATTAAAGTCTCAAGGCTTTTTGAAGTTCTGTAGAGACTTTGTATAATAGCTGTATATTTTGAAGAATTTGAGGAAGGAGAGAATCTAGTTAAGTGATAAATCCTGAACAGATACAGAATATACACATTTCTACATAATGTTCAAACTGAAAAGTAGCTAATTATCTAAATACAGAGCAAGTAGCAGCAGCAAGAATATCCTATTCTTATTGTTCAGATCTTCACGAATCTCCTCCACAAACTTTATTTTCCAAGCAAATAATGTACACTAATTATCCCAACTGTCTGATCACACTCTTTATCTCTTAACTTATTGACTGGTGTCAATCAAGTAAATTTTACAGAACAGCAGCAGATCTAAGAAATAATTTAAGTCAACACCTCGGTAGTGCATTAATATATGAAACAGGGACCTAATGAGGGAAAAGTTACAGCGTAATACTTGCATTAATCTGCTGAAAAATGAAACTGCACATTGACCATCCAGGAGTAAGGAAGATGCATCTGGGGGAAGGAGAGGTAAGCAGGTCACAAGGACATGTACAGGGAAAGCTTGAGCCATCTGGTAAGGGAAGGTATAAGTTCATAGGACAGTTATCACTATGACATGAGGCTCAGTTCACTGCTCATGGCCCATTCCTCTGTCACCTACAGTAAACACACGTGAACCAGAAGAAAGTACCAACAGAAATACCTGAAACTTACTGTAGCTTCAGCAGAATGTTTAACTGCAATTAGAAGTTGACACTGTAAATCACTTATGCTTTTTGAAATCCTGCAGAACTTTAATAGGTAGGTACCGCCCTCTTCCTTCCTTTTATCCCAGATAGTTAAGAAATTAAAGGCCTTTAGTACTGTTGACTAACCAAAAGTCTTCAGCCTCCTCACTGCCTGCAAATATCTAATGAAAGCTACTGAAAGCCAGCAGTAGTGTGTAAAACTAACAAAGGTCCTTCTGTACTATAACATTTCTACAGTCCTATTATATATTTCAAATCCTGTTTTGCATGAATATTACAATTGAATCCAAATTTCTGAATTAGACAAAAAATCTTAATAGTTGGAAGAACAGTGCTGCTCAGACATGTATTCTGGTACCTTTCACCAGTTAACTGTCACCATATAACTCAAATGGAACAAAATGTAGTTCAAAACTACAAAAATTCAGCTCCAAGTAATTATTCCTCTTTGGAAGAAAAAGCTTAAAAAAAAAACCAAACAGGATTTCATAGTAATTTTAAAAAACCATACGTCGTTGGAATAATGGCTGACATTTTAAATATATGCACAGAAAACTATGAATACTTTCTCTTGAATATGACTAGCCCCTTCAATCATGCTTGAGTCCATAAAAACACTCAAAAAATAATGACATTCAGAACCTGATGCTGCAAAACTTCATATAATTGCCTGTTAAACAATACATTCTGCTGGACTTGAGAAGCCCAGTACTTCCTTCATTTCAGCAAATTAATAGGAAAGCACATCTCTCTTATTGCAAAAGCTTTATTTAAACAGCTGTCTGTTTAGGAGAGGCACTGCCAAGTACACCTGAGCAGCGATTATGAGTCTGAACACAGTGCATTTTAGCAGGTATCCTCTTGACAGCTACAAAAAGTGAGATCTTTACTGGTTCAGTAGCCTGCCAATGAGTATGACAAAGGTTAATCCCTAAATTATTTCAGGGCTAAAGCTGCTGTCTTGTATTTGTGCTACTCAACCAACCAAAGAAAGAGAAGACACACTCCATGAAGAATGTTCAGCACACAATGCACATCTCATGACAAGTCAGCACGCTAGGCTTCCAAAAGGATGACATACACTGCCCTTTCCATCTATGGCAGTTTTTTTTAGTACAGACTATTTTAACAGCATATGCAATCATGACATATAATCTCAGAGTCTGTTTAAATGCCATTCTTGTCCATACTATGTAACTACAGTTTTTCTGATGTAGCTGTTCCGTAAACTTCTTGAGACAAGAAGATGAATTTATGCATCATTTTCTACATAAAATACTGAAGTAATAAGAAAAAAAATTAGAAAAACAAGAGCTCAGTGAATGCAGTTAGTCACACTGCATGTTCTCCTAGTCCTGAAAAAGAGAAAATCTGCTGCACAGCTGCCCAGCTCTCTTTTCCTTTTCTAATAACCATACAGACAGGTTATAAAGTTCACTTTGTGATCTCTCAAGTACTACTCCACAAGAACTGCAGGTGGTCCTATGTTACTGAAACAGGCTGAACTAGAATCTGTGAAGTCTAAACAAATAGAAAATTGGTTTTAGTATGTAATATACACGTATTACATTTGTATATACACATTTATTATAGACAAAATGTATATATAGAGAAATATATAGAGAGGCATATATGTGTACCGAACTACATTAAGGAAAAATACCTGTGCAACAGTTGGTGTAGCAATTTCCATTCAAAAGTATTGCTTTGGTGGTCAAGTATAATGTGTCATCCAAACTTTTTCAACTTATGTAAATTATCTTTTTCTCACCATACAGAAATTTGCCTGTCAGCATGCAACAAAGTTACTAAAATTGTTAATTCTTTACAACTTTCTCGTTTGTTGACAAGCACTTCATCATATACATCAACCTAATTACACTTCCATTTCCCAGCTCTTGAGACTTTATAACTGCTCTAGAAGATATTGGTGCGTACAAAACCACTTTTCACTGAGAAGCTGTGCATAGAGTATTTCATTACTGTATACAGTTTAAAAAACAAACCCACAATTTTTAAATTGTTACTTACACAGGGATGTTTTCAAAAGCATCTTCAAAATTTTCCTGGAAAAGAAAGAGTTTCAGTTAATAGTCTGTGTATGCTCAAGAACTCTTTATGTAACACAGTAGAAATTTACATTTACCAGGCAGCAGTTATTCTGCAATACGGAGTAATTACTGGATTATTCATAGTCATGCTTTCAGAGCAAATCATCACCCAAACACATTTACCAAAGGCTCACTACACTAAAGTACAATTTAATGGTAAGTATAAACATAGATTTTTCTCCTCTCCAGACTCTTAAACTTTCACTGTTCAGATTACTGAGGAAAATACAGTCTTACATCTCATGAATGTGGTATGCAAGGGAATAAAACGATACAAAAATTATACAACATTCCTATTTTACCACAGATAATACAAGCACCATTATGCCTGCAACAAACTTTCAGAAAAAGAAATGTTTGCAGAACAAAAATAATACTGAAAGAAAGCAACTTAAGTTCCTTAAACACCATCCTTCTGTAAGTAGCTGAACTTCCACCAATTACAGCTTACTTTAAGGTTATCCACTCACTAAAGACAATGCGCACACCCGCAATATTATTAAGAGTTCAGTCCTGGTGAGATGAAAGGTAAAGAGTTTACGTGATATTTACCCTAAGCATGAAAATGTGAGAGGTAAGCTACCATTCAGCAGTACTTCAGAAGACAAACCTAGGCTTCACAAATTTTAAACTTCTCTGCAAACTTATCAGAATAACAAAAGGTAATGATGGATCAGATAATACTTCTCCTCCACGGGAGATATTCAGGAACAGTGATCCACCTTCCAAAAAACATTACTTTACTTTTATTTTTAACTAAGGGAAAATACCCATTCAGAGTAACTGCTGAACAGTTGAACACGTTACTACAGCAAGTTTTGAACTACTGCAACTGCATATTATTTTTGCCTGCAGCTGCCATGGATAAGAAGTACCATAAATGTATTTAAAGAAACATCATTAACAGACTGCCTAAATGCTCTCTTTCAAACTAAGTTTACTGTCTATATTACAGTAGACAGGGATAAGGACTATTCTGAAAAGTACAGTAATCAACTCAGAAGCAAATAAAATGACATCTGATCTGAGAAGAGTGGAACCAAGTTTCCAAAAGCAGTATAGATGCCAACAGGAACAAATATCCTAAACAAAAACCTTGTTTCACTCTGTCTCACTCCAGACTGATAAAAGCCAGTCTTGTAATAAAGCAGTTCTCTGAAGACTGTTTGCCTCCTTGATCCATTTCCAGAGACAAGAGGAGAAATTCAGCAACATACATGAAACAACGGCAGCTTTTTTGAGTATGCTTCCATTGTTTATATGGGAAGAAACTGATTTTTTGTCTGATGTTTGAACTGTCAGATATTTGCAGAGAACAGCAGCAATCAGAAGTCTGTATCAATGTGGAAAAATGCCACTAACGTGGATCTTTTCTTGCCTGCTCCGCATGCTCAGCAAGGACCACATCAGTCTGTCTCCTGATGAATTTTGTTTCCTTCTATTCATACTTATCAAATGCTCCCATAAGTATCAGAAGTATCAGAATCTAAAGTGGTACAAGAAAAAAGGGGACAGACTCTTTAGCAGGGCCTGTGGTGACAGGACAAGGGGAAATGATCCAAACTAAAAGAGAGGAGATTTTAGATTGGATCTAAGGAACAAGTTTTTTATGATAAGGGTGGTCAGACCCTGGAACAGGTTGCCTAGAGGTGTGGTGGATCCCTCATCCCTGGAGACATTCAAGGTCAGGCTGAGACAGGGCTCTGATCCAGCAGTAGGAGTGGAAGAATGGACTAGAAAGCCTTTAAGAGTTCCTTCCAAATCAAACAATTATATGATTCTCAAGTGAAAATACTGCAATTGAAATACCCAAAATAGCTTCTCCCAGATCAAGTTCTGAGATTTGTCAAGTTCTCTCCAAAATATAAAACGTTTCAAAAGCACTCAGAAAACATTCACTTTCTTCTAAGGAGCCTGCTACAAATTTACTTGTGAATTAGTCAGCTCAACAACAGAAAACACAGAGTGAAGAGTTACATTTTTAACAAGTCATAAATGTGTGCATACTTTATATGCATACATGTATTTAAAAAACAAAAATCAATTGGCTTGTAATGTTTATCTAACTCCTGGAGTACAGAAGCAGACATAAGACAAGGACAGGCACTCTTGCACACTTGGTTAAAGCCTAGTAAAGACTGCATTTTCAGTTCCTCATCACAATGTTGCTACTTCCAGAAGATATAGTTGCAATGCCATAACCAGCTTCAAAGGTGCTTATTCATGTCAGTTTATGCCAGAGCACAACTTCCTTCAAATCTAGTGCTGTGTGCAACTAAGTCAGCCATATTTGTGACCTATGTAATTCAAAAATCTCTAATGGATTAATAGAACTTCCTTTATTTACATAGCTAGAGAGACTGTCATAGACTCAATGCAAACCCTTATCCACTTTCTTCTACTGACTTGAGTGCATCCTGAAGCAAGTCCCAAAGTATATCCTTGTCCTGATAGTACAGACATTTAGCACAGATCTTCAGGAACTACAACCTGCAGTAGAGTAAAAAAAAAAAAAAAAAGGGAGAAAAAAAAAAAAGGAAGAAAAAAAAAAGAAAGAAAGAAAACCCCATGCAGTTTTTCCATGTATTTTCTATTAATTTAAAAAAAATAAAATCAAACATTTAACAGTTCATTTGGAACCAAGTGAAACAGTTTAACAATGTTGTTACTCAGTACATAATACTGGCTAATGCTGAATCTTAAGATTTTTATCCCATATCCAGAGAACAGGTCAATATGAGTATTTAACAAGAATGAAAATAAACCTGCCACTAGATGGCATGACAAAAACTGACTTTCCTGCAAATCTGAAAAAAAATGGCAGAACACTTGATAAAACAAAGCTATCTTAAAAAGACTTTTCCTGAATCATACTATCATTTTTTTTTCTTGGACCATTGTTCTATTTAACAACTTTTTAGTTTTTTTTTTTTTTTTTTTTTTTAAGATGTAAGCCAGTTTGAAAAGTTTCAATAAATTAGAGATACTTCCGTTTTCCAAATCCAAGAAAGTTCAGCTCAGACAATGACAAACATGAACAGAGAAGTGTATAAACGGAGAAAAAAAAACAGTTTCACCATTCCTTAGCAATAACAGCAGAAACCATTCACAGCAGACCACCATTTACATATAAAGCCTCACGAATAATAAAATGCAAATCACTTAAAATTACTACAGGAGATTTACCAGTTACTATATTTTTAATACACCAGTAGAAAGTGGAAACAACTGCTTGTCCTGGTAATAATAGAAATCCTAGTGTCAAAAACATTATTCTTTCTCCTTTCATATTTATGGTTTCAACTACTCTTAAGCAGCTGTGAACTGCAACTTTGTAAAGATAACAGAATAGGGGAGGTATAAGGAGGTATAGGGAAAAGAAGCTGATCTGCAATATCTGTACTTTGGAATAGGACTATGAAAGAGGCTTTCCATGTGGTCTTCATTTGGATACCGCCACTTCTAAAAGAAGAAGATACTTCTAGAAGTCAGAAGTCACCACACAGATTTATTAGCAAATGGAATCAAGTATTAAAAATATTATTTGAACAGAATTTAAATATTCTTTTCTATTACACTACTCTACATACATTCATTTCCCCTCAGCCAGTGTTACATTAACAATTTCAAAGAAACTAGTGGCTACACATTTTAAACTATAGGCCTTCAGCGGTGGCAGCTTAATATAAGCCAACAGCTACAAATCAGCAACATGCTACCATTACAGCAAGATGCAAGCTCCTGATCACTTTTCTCAACGATACAAAAGGACAACATACTTCCTTTCTGTTGACCTGACCAAGCTGAGAACAAAAACATCAGTGAAACAGGAAATACTTTGAGATGTGCAGCAAAGGAACATGACTGACTCTAAAGCAACAAAATGATAGGATAATCCCACTTCAGTGGGGTTAATTTCAGTAAGATTCTATTCCTTATTTTAGGTTTTTGCCTGCTTGTTTTGTCTGCTTAGTACTAAAGTCAAGACTTCTCAGAGACATTTTCTTCTGTCTTTTTTTTTTCTTTCCATTTATCATGCTCCTTTGGAGCTCTCCTTGAGGACAACAGCATCCTCAGTATTTAATGAAATACAAACACTACACAATCAACTGTCAGTCCTCTACTCACTTATTCCATATTTGTATTACAAAAATACTGAGAGTTTTCCAGTCTTAAATTTTTTTTTAGCTTTCTTTCAAGTAGTCTGAAATAAATTCAGGCACCACAGAGCTACTATAAATGCATGGAACTGTAAAGATCTGGGTCACCATGAACTACCTAACATGAAACCTATCTCTGTTTAAAATACATGTATACATGTCATTTTTGCAATTTTAAAAAGGTATTAATAAAAATTAGAGCACAGTTACGGAAGTTTGCTCACATGCTACACTGATTAGCTTTTAAGAGGGAACCCACACATTTTTTACATTAAGAATCTGCCAACTAAACATAATGAAAAACAGTTGTCATTAAAAGACCATCATTAAATTATTTCTAATTGAATTTCTCAGAAACTTCTTTTTTTTCAATACAGTTTCTAATCAATACCCAAGGAATGAACATAGTTATTCATGGATGAAGATTTCATTAGAACTAGTGGAAAGCAAAACAGAAGAACAAGAAAACACTGCCTTTAACTGACTGGGATTAAGGAGTAAATTAATCTTAAAAGGAGGAGCTACACATGGAAACAGGCTGAGGCTGTATTACAGAAAGCAACAATGCTGAAGAAGTCTCACAGGCAATTTTGACATGTGATTCAATATGAATTCTTATTGTCACTGTGATCCATAAGTGAATCTGCAAACAGTAGAAAAAATAAATCAGGATGCAACACAGAGCATGAAAACAGTAAAGCTTAGCTTCCTTAGAGTTCAGCCTTACTGAAGGCTGATAATTGTTGAAAAATACAATAGAGATTCCCCCCAAAATAGTTCAGTAACTAGAACACC